ATGGGGAGAGGGCTTCCACGAGCATCTCTCTGAAGGCCTCCACGAGCATCTCTCTGTTCCCACCTCTCATAAAGGGGAGCATGAAGGAGAACAGTATTTGGGCAGCCAGCACTTCCCCGGCCAACACTGGCTTTTCAGACAAACCCAGCAGTGCTTCCAAACCCTGACCCTTTGCACATCCACTGCCCTCGGATATCAAAGGAAACTTCAGGTCTGAAACCGACTTGGCAAGCATGTTATTAATAACCGTCATGCTTATTAGCAGATTTAATCCGGCCTGCTGCAGAAATGACTTGCAGCAATGTAACACCATCTCTCGACACACTTCATCGATGGACATCTCAATCTGGCCCTGATTTCCAATACTGGTGTTTGGGTTTCCTGGGACACACAAAGCCTTCTCCCTCACAGTGGTCTGGGGGGTGGGGATCCCGTTTGCAACCACTGAGATGCTGGCCCAGTGCCTACTGACATTGTGGCTAAGGGGAAAGCCAGCATTTGTGGGCTTGGTGAACATCTTTTTTCCTTGAATGGAAGCACACTTGCCCCGGTCCAGAGCACAACTGAAAGATTTAAAGGTTTGAGCACCCCACGTGTGTTTATGTTCATAAGGGAATGGTCGCTGTTTTATTGGGTGTGCTCTGTTTGCCTTCCCCCCTCCTGAATGTCTGTCCTCAGTCCCACCTGGGGACCCAGGTTCATCCCAGTCCCCATCCTTACTCCAGGGCCGAGCCATTGTTGTGAAATCAAACCAAATATTTGTCTCCTCTTCATCCAGATCCTGTTCGTCATCACAATCGTCTTCCTCCTCGTCCTCCAGTTCATTTCTCGCCCCTCTTCCCATGGTCAGTTTGTACATGCAGTAGCAGGCACCTGCCCCGATCATCAGTCCTGCCGCCATCCAACTTATTTCCCGGGCCCGACCCATACTTGAACGGGTGTGAGCCTTTTGGCCAGACAGGAGAGGGCCTTTCTTCACGGGATTGAAGTGAGTTCACAGCGGCTGCGTGAACTATGGTGCAGGTCAGTAATCTTCAGCCTCTCCTAGCTTCTGTGATTCTGGTGGTGACTCTATGGGTGACAGAAATAGCATTAGGATCCTGATCTGTGACTGGGTTCGTACCAGCCAAGACTGATAGGAGTTCACATTCTTGTTGAGAAAGTTGGATTATTAGGAAATGATGTCATTATTCTTCTCTGTCTTCCTATCTCTACCCTCCGATTCCACTTTTAATCTTCCAGGATTCTCAGAGGTAGACAGGAGAGGAGACTGTGATGTGACAGGAAGACAGGTGACAGGGACAGCTAACCCTCATGCGGTCGCCTCGAACACCCACCTACTTTGCCTCCTCCTCCTCCCCACCCAAAAACCATAACATGCTTTCCTACCAACCTCAGAAATATACCTCAGAAATATTTTCTTCTCGTGTCTTCTGCTTTATTCCCTGCACGGTGATGGATGGACCGAGCCGGGCAAAAGGACATTCGAAAAGCTCCGGAGCCAGCAATGGAGAACTGAAACTGTAGTCGGACAGATCTAACTACACGGATAGGGGCTTTTTCTGAATTTGGGATTTTTGAGTAAAAATAATTTCTCACACCCTCCCGACTTTGCTAACGAGGGCCTCCCCACCCCCTCCTCGTCCGCCATTTCCCCAGCAAAGGCCGCCACACCCCTTTCCCTGCACCGAAATGGGAGGGGGTGTGGAAAAAGAAGGGGCCAGGAGAGGGCGACTAGGACCTGGCCCGCAAAGATCCCAGCCCCCCTCTTCTTCCACCCACTCCTTGGGTTCGGGATGAATCCCACCTTCAAACCTGCAGTAAGATTCCAGTCAAAGCGATTTTCTCCCTCTCTAGCCAAGGCGAGCAGAGACCCAAAGACCTGCAAACGGACAGGGGACCTGGGGTGTGTGGGCGGGAGACACAGAGTGCTTAGTGGACTCACCAGCACCTAGGACACGGTGACCGGATTGTGGATCCTTTCTTTGCTTGAATTTCGTGCAAGTACCGTTCACCCCTCTCACCTCAACCTGAAGCCCGCCACTTCTCCCTATCAAAAGAAGCGAGGGTGGGATGCGGGTCGTGGGATAGGTATTTAAAAAAGTAGGTGAGAAACGGACATAGCCCCTATCTGCGGAACTTGAACGCTAGATGCTCTTGTCCCTCTCCCGCCCGCATCACCTTCCAAGCAGCTTCCACCGACCTGTACAGTCCGAGCGAGTTTCCTTCTCCTTCACGCGCCTGCAGAGTAATAGGGGGTTGGTACCCGGTCAGAGGCGACTAACAGGACTTCAGCTCTAGGCGGCTCTGGGTCACGTGATAGCCACGTCACCAGTGAGCTCTAGCCCCCAATTTCCACTCCCACAAGCAGTGCGGCAGGCGCCAGTAGGCTCCGTACCTCCCCCAGTTCTTGGGGCCCTGTTAGTCTTTTTTTTTTTTTTTTTTTTTTTTTTTTTTTTTTTCAGTAGCAATACCAGAAACCAGAAGTTACCGTTTCTCGTGTTTGAGTTTGACTTTCTCGAATGACTGCGCATTCACACTTTCTTCTTGGGGAAACTGTCTGATTCTTTCGTTGGCTTTCAAACTCCTGCATCCTTTTCTTTAATTTCTACTCCTTTCTATTTTCAGTTTCTGCATCAAAGTTGGGGAGAGGAAGCAGCGAAGGAATCGCAGGTGTGAGGGGAATTTGGATGAACACTTTTGATCCATTTATGTTTTATTTCATCTCTTCTATTTGGTAGACTACTATTTTGTTATTATAAGACAAAATGAAGCTATCTCCATAAACAAATTCCAAATCTTTTAAATTGTATGTAAACAAAGAAATGAAGATTTTCCAGTTAATAGCTAGATCTCATTGATTTTGCAAAGTTCATTAGTATAACATCAAAAATATTTTCTTCTCAATAGTAGCTTTTAAATAGTGCCTTACAGTTTTCAAGTGTATCCTTTGAAACAAAGCCAGCATGCTTCCAATATGATCGACGGAACATAAATGGATTAGGGGTGAGGATGGTCAGGTTCTGGCCATTTTATGAAGGTGTGAGCCATTTATTTGTTCCTTTCTTTATACTGATTGAACTCACGGGTGTCAGAAAATTGAGATCTTGTACAAGGTTCAATAATGACTTCCAGTCTCACCCAAAAGGTAGATTTTATGCAGACACCACCTCAGGTTTCAGATGAACTTTACAAATTAGTAACACCACAGATTGCCTGCTTTTCATTCCAAGGGATTTAAATTCTGTACTGTAGTTTCATGACCCAACCCATGAACCACCCTGAAATTAGGGAACTCTCTGCTGTCCCATTGATGAGAGCTCTACTTGTCAGGTGGAGAGTTCATAGCACCACTACTGAGGTGGTCTCAGTTCTGCCTTTCACGTACTCTATCACCATGTCGATGGTGAGTCTTCAGCATTTGCCAGTGACATCGAGGATGAGGGTCTGTGGATGACTGTAGACGATGACAACACTGGTGACATCAACTTCTTTTCCTTTTCATAGGTAGGAGAACAAAATACAGGATCCAAATTTGTCCCCAGGACAAAGAGACCTTTTCACTCCCTGCCTTCCCTAACAATTTTACTGTACCATCCTCACAAACCCCGCAGAACTCAGGGACAAAATATGAAAGTGTGACTCGACAGGCGCCACCTGTTCACTGCTGGGAGTCATACTCTAAATATAGACCCCCAGGCTGCTTCTTTCTTAGAATATTGAAATTTGACTCGCCAGCCAGAGCCTTCCCTATGAAGGACTGTGCGTGGAGGAGGCCCCTGCAGGAGGCGAGCCAGGGAGTCCATAAATGCCTTGTTGACAAATGCAAGAACTCAGGAATATGCCATTCCTCTCTGGTCTTCCTAACAACTAGACTCCTTTACCAACATCATGTTCCCTTTTCTCCAGCTCTCTGCTTCGTTCCTTTTCTCACCATGCTCTTAGGCTGCCTTTCTGTGATTTTCTTAGATAAGTAAATTCTGTCTCTGAAAATGTATTAAAAAAAACCCATTCAGATTAAACTGTGCTTTTAACTTTGGACTATTGTGAGCTTGCACAAGAGACTCCTGTTCATTTTGAATATAAACATGAAGAAGAACTAAGAAATATGACGAGCTTATTATAGGCAGGCGATTGGTTCTGCAATGTGAGCTCATTTTCACTTTCTGATAAGTTTCAAGGACAATAGCTCCACGCCTACTTCTCTTTATTGCTACAAAATCTCTCCCCCCTTTGGTAGGTATATGGTTCAGTCATTTCAGTATAAAACACAGAAGAAAGCACCGCCCCTTTCAGCTTACCAGGTCCTTCGTGCTTTAATCCACTCTCTATCTAAAACTTCTTAAATCCCAGGAGCATGAAGTTTTTCAGTTCTTTTACATCTTTATCACTTTAATTCATAGTTCTTCCCAACAAAGCACAGGGGCTATGATTTAAAACCACTTCGTTCTCCATTATGTGCACCCACAAGTACTTTATAAGGGCATATTAGACATCTGAGATATCATCTTAAAAGTGAAAATGGGAAATGCTTTGGTTCCCAGGAAAGGCTGCTTAATGTTTTCGGAGCCTGTGAAAACAAACAAACAAAAGTTTATAAGGTCACTTCCCAAGGAAACCTTCTGGTAGCCACACATAATATATGACTTGTAAAGTATCCAAAATTAAAGATGAATCAGTGGTTGGTACCACTATGGGTTATGGAGGGAGACAAAGAGAAGGTTGGCATTTGGAAAGTTCTCCTTGGATATTGTGCTACCAGATGTTAGCTTAGTTAAGGTTGTCTCACTGCAAACAGCCTATCCAGGTCTGGTTAACACAGAGGACAAACGCTAAAGAACAAGGTTAGCTTTCAGGGATCTGGGTAGGAGAAACTGAGAGATGATTGCTGCATATAAGTTTCCCTGGTTTCAGGGTTTTCTCTCCTTGCTCGAGATTAAAATTTTAGCAGGAGAGCTTCTGTTTGGTGTGCTTTGGGCACAGTGCCCATCTTTTTGCTAGGGCAATGCGGAGTATGTGGAAGGTGCAATGCACTCATTTCCCTTCTTTAGTATGAGGTCTAAGTTGTTTGAAATGGTGATTTATTTTGAAAATGTTTACTCTACTTTTTATGTGATGTGTGCATTCCTGTCTGTCTGTATGGCACCACATTCAGAGAAGATAAGAAGAAGGGGCAAGATCCCTGGAGCTGAAGTTATAGGCAATTGTGAGCCACCCCTCATGTGGGTGCTAGGAACTGAACTTGGGTCCTCTGCAAGAACAGCAAGTGTTATTGGACACTTAGTCCACATCTCCAATCCTATTGTCCAGTGTCCTTCAATTATTTGGCATAACAAGTCTTTGTTCAGCTGTAACTGAGTTGCTGGGAACCTGCCTACTACCACATGCTTGAGTCGCAATTTCTACATTACCTGATCATTAGAAAGATACAATATAAAATGTCAATTCAGAATATTGCCCTTGGAACCAAAGCCACCTGGCTTCCCTGACAGCATTCCATAGGGTTGCATATACAGTTCAGGGTGTGGTCTTGAGTGTTGCACCATCTTACCCCAGCTTTTGTCTTTAAGCAGAGAACAGATGCTTTTGCCAGTGATAGACTCTACTTCAAAGGCACACATACAAACCGAGATTTGGATGTCACACTCATCAGCCTCTGTATTCTCCTCCTGTGAAATAGGCTACAGTGAAAGTTATGTTTCAACAGGAGTAACAACGGAATACTTTCCCTTAAGAAGTTCAAGTGTCAGGGAGCAGAAAGGGTTTCTGCCTGTCTTACCTGTTCATTCTCTCCCTGCATACAAGCTCTGGCTTGGGAAGTCACAGCTTCAGAAGATAGCTTGACCAACCTAGAATCAGAGCCAGCACATCCGTTCATCTGAAAGAGAAACTTTTAGCTTAGGAAGTTTGCAGTATTCTTACACATTATGGGAATGATTTTGCCAAGGATGAAATGTTCCCTTCACCTTAGCCAGAACTGCCTTTCTTCTAGACAGTGCTTTAGTAACATTTTCCTCTGAAGCCTTTTTTTGTGTATGACTAAGACTCTTTGTTGCACTTGGCCTTTCTCTGAATACAGAGCCATGCAGTTGATTTGGTTCAGTTTACTAAATCCAAAATCACATCTCAGTTCTGCTTTCTAGAAGCTACAGTGATAGAAATTTTCCTGGAGATTAGCTTGTTCTTAAACTCTTTGTACTCTTAGTTTTCTCTCAAGTTTTTTCCTGTGGATTTTGAAACCTCTCCTCAGATACCAACCTTGTATCGAAACTATGAGGATATTGCTCACTGAAGAGCTTAGGTTTATTGTGTTGTGTGTTTTTGTACTATGTATTAAGTTCGCCTTGCTGGGCAGCCAGCGACTGATTCCAAACCTGGTTAAATTAGACAATGAGAAGATGTAATTGCTTCATTCCCTTTTTTTGTCTTTGAAAGTGAAAATGGCAAGTGAATTGTGCCCCACAAGCTGATCAGTGCAATGGTTCCACACTAATTGCTAGATGACAGGTTCGGTCATGTTTGCCTTGGTCTTTGTATTCCTGCAACACACTATTTCATTTGTAGATGCTGTTCTCTGTTTGTACCCCAGGATTTCAGAGTGTTCTTTTTACAGCAACTGCACATCGGTCTGGGCACCTTTTCATCTAACAGACTTGGTTTCTCCTCGATCTTTCCTGTTCCTGGCTTTGGAGAGCCCCAGCCTCGTCCTGGTTAACGTGTGCCCTTCAAAACCTGTTGCTCAGTCAGAAGATTTGCATATTCTCAGGCAGGCTGATTAGTTCAGTCAAGTTGGGCTCTGTTCATTCAGCTGCATTCTGTGATAGGCCCCAGAAGACATTAAAATTCCTTTGAGTAAAGCGAGTCACACTTCCCAAGAAGTGAGCCATGTAGGACTTTTAGAGACCATCATCCAACACTGATCTGCTACCTCTAGTCTTATTCTTCCTCGACGGAAGTATTTTTATTGTACTTTTCCCTCCTAAATAGAATGCAGACTGTGAGCAGGGGAAGCCAAGGTGAAAATAACTAAAAAAGTATTAAGAAAGTAAAAGATACATTCTCATTCCACGTTCCCTATTCTGGTGACTTATTCGTTTCAGGTCTAGGACTATATTTCAGAGGAAATGGTAGATATTTATGGTTGGGAGGAGGGGAGGTAGAGGGAGAAACTGCTGTCCCAGGAAGGAAGACTCAATTAAAAAAAAAAAAGTACAAGTGGCCAGTAGCCCCAGGGGAGGATGCTGTCCTGTTTTGGTAATTGAAGGAAGGGAAACACAACT